ATCATGTGCTCGGTGGCCTTCTGCAGCCAGTGGCCGATGGCGTACTCGAACAGCTGGTACCACACCATCGGACCGGATCCCACCGGGTGGATGCGGCCGCAGGCGGCGCCCAGGTTCTTGTTCTTCTTCATCAGATCCACCAGCAGAGTGACCGCGTTCGGCTTGAAGTCGATGTCGCCATCGAGGGTCAGCAGGTAGGTGTTCTCCGCGATCGCGTCCTTGCGGTCCACCGAGATGGGCAGCTCCATGAGGCGGTGGCCCAGCAGGTAGTACATGTACATCACCTGCGACCAGCGCTTCCTGTGCCGGATGCGGTCCTTGTCCTTCAGGTGCGTGATGAACTTCGTCTTGCCGGGCAGCGTCCACACCAGCCTGCCGCCGTACGGAGTGGGGTACTTCTTCGGCGGGCGCAGCCGGATCGTCGTCTGGTGGATCTCGGAGGCGGCCTCGTCCATCGTGGCGATCAGCAGCTTCACGAACCGGTTGCACTGGATGTCGTCGTCGCTGTGGTCCGAGATCTCGAAGGCGTCGTCGAAGAAGATGTGCGCTGTTGGGAGAGGTTCAATGGTTACTATTGAATAGTATCTAAAGATCAGGTTTAACATGTTCGGTAAGCTATTGGAACAAAGGTACATGGATCACGAGCTCAGAGAATCAAAAGTAGGCCAATCTTCCCTCTCAAGAGGTTTAATGGCATTTTCGCAAAGGAATATAACTAAAGGAACTTGACATATGTTAACAATATTGTATTTAAATTATAAATTATGACTAAAATGAAACAAGTTATTTCCAAATTAATTTCCTACACTAATGAGTATCAATTATTAGCATAAATTCGAGCTTAAATATCTTTAAAGCGTGGCATTCAAAATTAAATGGCTTTTGATTGATCGGAGAAAGTTTAAAACTGTTAATAAAAATTAGCATCAAATCGTCAAACATCTTGTTTAGGATTATTTCTCACTCATAGGATCGCATTGACGTCTTCGCTTTGGGGTACCTGAAGGTACGAAGGTTTATCACTTTTTCAAAAGCCTCTTATGCATATATATCCACTCAAATTCAATTGTGTATAACCGCGAGTTCTTCAGTTAAGGGCAAGGCAAAATGCCTTACACATTTCAAGAGAAATTATCAAGAAGAAAAACAAATCTCTTTTAAGAAGAATCATTTGATATGACGAGCAACTTGATGATAAGTTGTCTTTTTTGTTCCAGCTAATCAAGGGATAATTGTAATCATAGCCGAGTCTTTTAGGATTAGAGATCAACCTGAAATCTGATTAACTACAAGCGCACACTCCTCTACTGAATCGTAAGCTCTACTTACTTTCGAACTCGTAGTAGTCCGGATCGAGGACCCGCAGATACTTCTGGGCCACGCGACGGGCGCACTGGTCCTCGTCCATCCGCATGATGCTCTTCAAGAACTCAATCATCTCGTCCTTGGTCTCGTGCCACATGGTCGCGCAGGAGTAGATGCGGGTGATGTTGTCCGAGGACTTGATCGAGGGCTTGTTTGGGGCCGAGGAGCGGTCCGTGTGCACCGAGATGGTCTCGTAGTACTCGTCGCCCTTCTCCTTCTCAATCTCCGACAGATCCTGTAAGAATAGTGTTATTATCTTCTTCAGCCAAGGAGTGACTGCCACTCACCTCGGTCTTCACATCCGCCTGGTCGTCCCGCCTCCTGTTGAGCGCCATCGACTGGTCGATCAGGAGCGAGGAGTACATGGGTTGGACGAAGAGCTTCTCGGTGGTGGCCAGACGCTCGCACTTGGGCGTCCAGATGTGCAGTGCTATCCAGGTCTGGCTGAGCAGCCAGAGGATCCAGGCCCAGGCCATCTGCTCGGTGACGAAGTTGTTGAAGCGGAAGTTCGAGGGGCTCGTGAAGAAGAGGTAGTCGGGGATGGTGTCGTGGAAGAAGCAGGGGTCGTCGATCCGGATGCCGCAGGCGGCGATCAGGAAGGTTACGGACAGCGGAACCGTGAGGCTGACGGGGAAGGCGTAGCTGAATCCCTGGATGAGGATCTTGCAGGCGAACTTGCCGAAGATGTAGCACAGGTAGGCGCCGAATATCTGCAGGAGCAGCACGTAGACCACCGTGTTGTAGGCCGCGTCCACGTCCACGGTGTCGATGTTGGCCGACTCCAGGGTGTCCGGGAGGACTCCGCCCAGGCCGGCAGGCAGTTCGTAGACGACAATCTTGTGCGGACCGAAGGCGTCGCCGTACATGGAGAACAGGTTGCCGGGCTCCTCGCCCTGCGCCCAGTAGATCAGCAGGGTGACCGTGAAGAAGAGCAGGATCTTCCAGATCGAGAGGAAGATGTGGCAGAAGTAGCGCGTGAACCGCATCTCCTCCTTGATGCGACCGAGGGCGCGGACCAGTCCGAGCGGCGACTGCGGCGACACGTAGTTCTCCCACCAGCCGCAGGAGATCATCACGCAGGCCACCGGGATGACCCACAGCTCGCGGCGGTTCTCCAGCAGCGGCCAGATGACCAGACCCGTGACCTGGGCCGCCACGGCCGCCAGGTCGATGATCGCCTTCACGAACCGCTTGCCCTCCTTGGAGGTGCGCGAGAGCAGCCCGAAGATGCCCGGCACCACGCAGAGGCAGTTGGTCAGCATGGCGCCCTGGATGGCGTCGATCTGGGGCAGGACCACGAACATCAGCAGCGCCATGCCCACGGCGCTCAGGCTCTCCATCAGCCAGACGAACAGGAAATGCCCCGTGCGCGGCACCTTGAACGTCTTGAAGAAGCAGATTCGGGCCGACCGGATCAGGGCCCCGATCTCCGGCAGCGCGTACGCGATCAGCAGCGCCCAGATCCAGGCCACGCGCTCCTCCTCGGGCAGCCGCACCACGAAGCTCTTGTCGCGACCCTTTTTGGGGAAGAAGAGAAAAGTGTTATTGGGATTGTACAATATGTCCTGAATATCATATCATGAATATCACTTATTTTGTCTCTAAAAGTTTTTTATTTGAAAGAAAGAACTATAAGCTAATCAAGAAAATTTTAATAAACTTAAATTGATTTTAGTCAATGTAAATATTTTAAGAGTTTATCAAGGTGATTCACAGACAGTTTTGGGCTGTTGTCCAATTGTTTGTGAATGAGTTGATTTATCACAATAAAAATTACTTTAAAAGTTCCTAAGGTTATGTATTTAAAACCATAATTTAGCTTACCAAGTCCTTATTGCAGTACTCCATCTTCTTGTCCTTGCGCACTTGCGAGGTCATGAAGAGCATTGTGCCCTTGGCGATGACGCCACCGGTTAAAACTATGATAAACGTAAACACATAGGCGAAGATCTTCAAGATCTTGACGGTTAATTCTAAGCACTCCTGGTTCGCCGTCGATCCGGTCTCAATTTTAATTGGCGGATCCCGGAAAACATCCCATCCCTTTGTCTCTTGTATTGTGCGTTGGCTGAAAGTGAGTTGAGAAACAAATTGTGTACTATATTGTAAAGAAACTGGAGTCAATTGAAAACAATTATTAAGAAAGTTAAAAAGTGAAATGATGAATTACACTGTGTATTGCTACGATACAAAGTTATTTATTGACCGACTCGACCGGGAGTAATCGGATCGGTTCGCAGACCACTGATCTGTGATTTATGCAATGCCCGCTCGACCAGATGATCTTGACTTCCGGCAACTCATGGACCCGACTCCGCCCTGCACTGAAAGTGAATGTGAGGCAATCGCGGTCGGAGCGGGCTTAATTGTAGTTTGTGTCTTGTCGAGACACTTTAGTTCCGGTTGTCTTTCCGCGGTGGTTGGCCACCCAGGCAGATCGGAACAAGTTCAGAAGGCCTCTCTGCCTCAAAACCCGGGTACAATGGCGGGGTTGGAACCTACCTGCCGCCGTAGATGTCGTGGGTCAATGGCGAGCTCTCGTCGTCGGTGAAGTTGTTGTCGTCGCTGTCGCCGTGCTCCCCGGCGGCTCCCGCTCCGGCTCCTTGGCCCGGAGGGGCCATCGGGCGATGCCGCATCGCAGACATCTCCCACGGTCGATGGTTCTAGCCCGCAATCTTGGCGCGGAGTGGCCAAAGTTCGGCTGCAATAAAAAAAGAGAAGAAGGAGGAGAGTTGTAAGTGACTGGGCTCGATAAGCCGGTTTTAATGGACGCGTAATTTATGGCTATGGAAAACGGCTCCCAAGGACAGGCGTCCTTTGACTTCGCCTTCAGACCGGTTTGTGCTATTTTTGTAAAAGGCTTAAGATGAACCTCGAAAGCTTCTGTTTCATGAACTCAGAGAAACACCAATAATGAAGACTTTCATACAAATTAAGTTTTTCTACTTCACTTCTTTCTTTTCTTATTTGAAATCATTACAATTATCCCTATAGTTTGGATCAAAATAAAATCAGTGACTCATAGCTCTGGCATCTCTGCAATTAAATTCACAACTTTTGCCCATGGTTTCGTGCCTTTCAGATTTTTCTCATCAGCTTTTCACTTTCACTGCTGTAATATTCATCGCAGAGTGACTTAAGAAACGGCTGGAGCTCCGCAAGTCGCATGTGGCACTCGAGACTCCGACTCCGATTCAGTCTGGAGCTCGGATACGCCTCAGTTGTTCCACATGTGGCACGGAACTGAAACCGATGTTGGCCGGGTCTTCTTCTCTTTTTATGGTAATTAAGTGCGATTACTCGTTTGAATTGCACTCGCAGTGCTCGTATTGTTCTGCCAATGCAGGCCTTGTGCCAGATTCTGGTCCGAGTGCAATATTTATGGTTATGAGGCGGATTGAAGATGGTGGCCAATTGGTATTGGTGCCGAACGATGGGAGGAGTTATGGGTGGTAAGGCAATTTATGAGGGATTGCCATATAGAGTATCCCAATTATTTTAACAAGGTAATGAAAGCACTTAACACTGATTCATTAACAAGGAGAAACAAGAGTTTTCCATTCATTAACGTTAATTGATATATCTCAACCAATGTCATTATGTATCAGCAATCTCAGATCGCAAGACAAAGCACAATAAGTGAAATGGTTGTAATTTTAGGTTTTTCCGTACAATTTGAAGGCTTTGACAAAATAATAATCTTAATTCGGGTTTAAGGCTCGTCCATATCGGGAATATCATAAAATATATCAGAAGAGCTCGGCCGCACTTCAAGAGTTGATTCTTTAACTGCAGTCTTGGAGTCTTGGGAATCTTCTTCGGTTTTTGTGGATTTCAACGGATGCTCGGAGGTTTCTTGCAATATGTAGAGCTTTTCCCGGAGACGAAGGGACAAGTTCTCGGGAGTCACGATGTGGTCGCAGACTATGGGTTTCCTGGACATGGAAGTGGTCAGGGATCCCCCACTTTGTCGGTGTCTCGAACGGCCATCGTGTTCGTGCTTGCGGCTCGTGATTTCAGGCACTTTGTCCTTTTTCGGGATGGTCTCGTAAGGATTGCTCTTCCGGGACTTGGCGGACTTGCTCGACGGCATTTCCCCAGCCATCATTGCATGGGAGGCGTACAGATTGAAGCGGCTGTCCAGGCTGAGCTTCACCACCAGGACGGATCGCTCGGCCTCGTAGCTCCGACGAAGGGCCTCCAGGTGCCCAATGAGCTGGAGGTCCGTCGGATTCACGGACCGGCGAGCGGTGACCTTGCGCAGGCGCTTGGTGATCTCCACCTCCGACATGAAGCACTTCACCAGCCGCTTGATGAGCGCGTTGAACTGCTGCTCGCTGAGGGAGCGGGGCTCGAACTCCACCACCCGGAACCGAGCGTTGTCCACCTGATCCGGACGTATCTGGCCCTTCTCCATCAGCGGCGGCAGCTGAACGCCACGTCTGCTGGCCAGACCGGAGCTGCTCAGCTGGGTCACGTCGAAGGTGGGCGGCCCGACCAGGCTCCGCTTCAAGATGCCCCCCTCATTTCGGCACTTGGAAGCCGATTCGCAATTTACCGAGGACTGCATGATAAATTTGGCAGGATCTGAAGATGTCGCTACAACAAAACTGGAATTTGGTTTCTACTTATTGCATTGCGGTGTAACAAACTTGACAAATTTTACTAAAGTGTCAAGTCATTGGGATAGCATGAAAGAGTTACAAACGTTTTTGAGCAAAAACTATTTATTGGTAAAATGTATATTTCTGGTCTGAAAACCCGCACTGACAGCCTTAGCTGTAAATGTAATAATCTTTTCCGATGTTGATTTGCGTTCATAAAGATCTGTTGTTACGACTTTTTTACATAGCCTTGAACCGAGAAAAAAATTTCATAAAAATCGAACAACTATATCATATAGCTGATATAGGAAAGATCGAAAAATCTATATCTTTGTTTTTCATCAGACAACCATGATTTATGTTCGACTGCAAGCCGAAGCTAGCTTCCTTTCTTGTTAATAAATAATCCAAGTCAAAAGTTGCCTTAAAATAGACAACATAGTATACTATGATACTACTGTCAATAGCTTTGGAAAGTCAAAAGCAGGATCTCTGCTTAGTAATAGTTATTAACGTGGTAATCAGATGGAGACGAAGGGAACAGCTGGTCGATCCAAGGGATGCTGTGGGTTGCCTTTGGCTTTTTTGTGGAGGATTCTGCGCACAAGGCGAGCTTCTCTTCATAGGATGAAGCACCCCAAAGGACGAATACCTCCCACACCCACACACGTACGAAGGGGAACGCACAATTTTTAAGCTTGTGGAAGCGCAAGGGTGGATTTCCACACACATTCGGGGGAGTGGCAGGATGCTCTCGAAGTGAAAGTGAGGTGAAAGTGTGTCCTTGGAGCGCGCCTGTTTCGGGCTTTATAGGGCAGGAACAAACGTGACGTTTCAACCTGACCGTGTGGCCTAAAGGATAAGGCGTCGGACTTCGAATCCGAAGATTGCAGGTTCGAGTCCTGTCACGGTCGCTTTTAATTGCAGGAGGCATTTTTTGCCTGCCTGCGTCCTTTTTAGTTTTCTATTTTCGCTTTCTAGGTCATTCCGGTTGATTTAGTAACATCTTTGGCATATTTTATCGCCTCTTGTATTTTAAAACACAATAAAAACCCGTTTCTCTTTGGCTCGTTGGCAACACAAAATGCAAAATCAATTTAATATGGGAAAAATACGCAATTGAGCAACCATCGGACATCAAATTGGCCACTGCCAATGAATAGCCAACAGAAATCTCGACTTGTCTCGATTCTTATAAATGTCAAATGTCCACAAGAACTCATCTACCAGTTGAACTTGGAATAGTTATAAATTGGCTGCATTTCATACACATCTTTAATTCCCAGTATTGCTTGGATAAAAATTTAGTAATCAATTCAGTAGCTTGAATTTGATTTAAGCACTAACTCTGTGATAAACGTAAACACTTATATATACTCGCTAATTAACTTGTTTAATATGTCGAACGATATTTATCGGTCTTTAATAAGAAACTGAATCAATTTTTAATCAAATGGTTGGGGCTTTGTAAAATGAAACACATATTATGAGAAGCTCACACAAAGAGACACATAAGTTAACAATGCAATTATGGATGATCTATCGATGTAGGTATAAATATCCGACTCAACTGCAACAAGTACTTATAAAATAAGTTTTGACAAAAGGCTAGTATAGATGTTTTAAAAAGCATGTTTATCCCCGGGAAAATGAACTCTGGTAACCTTAGCCAGCCTCAACATTGGAGTACTTTTACCCACACACCAAACGTGCTCGCCATACCAAATATGACCTAAGTGGAAGAAAACCCAATAAAAAAAAAAAAACAAAAAATTAAGCATTCAAGTCGACGCGCTTAATCAACGTAGAGGGCTAGAAAGATCGAGCCCGAAAAAAATTACAACTCCGAAATCGACGGGCAGAGTCGGAGCAACGGGCTTATTCTTGTATATTCTCGAAGAGATCTCCGATAGCCAACCGGTCGGACAGGAAGGCAATTGGAGCGGGCCAACTGGGGTCTCGGAGCGGCGTGGAGCCAACTCGTTGGACTGCCCACAAAAATAGACAATGGGACACAGCTGCAGGCGGTGGGTGATTCAATAATTTTTGTCTGTTGTAATAATCACATTAGCGCCAGGCGGGGAAACGGGGGGAAAAGGTGGGCGGTGGGCGGCGGAGGGGAGCCGAAGTGAATGTCCATTGGACCAAATACAATACTACACAAGCCAGAGGATTTATGTTGAAAAATAATTAAAAATGTGTGTAGTAATTAAAAGTTTTTGCAATACCATATAGGTTATTGCAGACCAGTGTACACAGGTATATCAATTTTTACTTTATTTAAAGTGTTCAGTAGTATATACTATTATATATTTTAAGTCTGCATTGCTCGTGTATTTAATTAGGCAAATGAAAAGTATTATTCAAAGCATATGTTTTCTTCTGTGCAACCATAAACACAATTACCCGCCTGAGTGTTTTGGTTTTGGGGCCAAGTCAGAAGCCGCCAAAGAAGGCGAACAATTAAAACCTGCGCTCCACCGACAGCCAGCCAGAAACACAGAAAAAGTGAAAGTCAGATACTTGTAAAAAATGTTATAGAAATAAGCGAACACAGTCTATGCGATAGACTGGCGCTCAGATATGAACCAAAGTGGACTTGGATACCAGTTGGGCTGCAACCGCTGCCCAGTTGTTGCTGCTCCGCCTGGCTCATGAATTGATTGCTACACTTAAGCCAACTAGTCAAAACGGGAACATGGCAATCGAACCGGCCACGCCAGCCAGCCAGCCAGCCAGCTGCCGACCGAATGTTGCGATTGCCGATTGTCGATTGCCGGACAACCAGTTTTCGGCGGACAACAGGAAAACCAGCGAGTTGCGGCCAAGAAATATGCGCCAATAAGAGTAAAATCGTAGGCATTATGTGAAAAATTGCAGGCCAACCAAGCCGGAACGAACTGCGAGTATAGTACTATGGTGACACGGCCAAGATGGGGCAAGTTTTGGAGTGGCGTCTCGGGGGAGGGGCATTCATGGGTGTGGGTCCAACGTGCAGTGGCCAGCTCACTGGAATTGGCCGTTTAAGCCATTGATTTAAGCCATTGATTTGCCACAGCGGAGAGCCACAATTGCTGAAGGTTGCCCGCAATCCGAGTGCAGGAATTCCAGTATGATATCGATTCGGGTGACTCACGCCCGCAGATTTAAGACAATCTACGAGTATATTGAAGCTGCACCCAACATCAAGCTCGAAAGTTCACCTGAGAAGCTTCAAGAGCTTATTTCATCGGCTGAAACACGTTTCAGCGTCTTGAGATATTTATCACATGAATATTGTCTAACAAATTACAATTAACATGAAACCGATAACTTAAATGTTAAGTGGAAATTTTGAATTTTCACCGTACAACTTGGCAAAAGCTTAATTAAAACTTAAGTGTGACATTGTTTGTCCAGAAACATTTTAGCTTGAAGAGCGGTTAAGTTTAAAGTTTAACAGGAAATCATTCATTCAATTACAATGAATTTAACTGAACTTAGAACTCAAACGAAAGGTTTCTTAAAAACAAGTGCTCATGTTTATTGGAACTTGACAAGAAATATTCTCCTTTTACCTGCGTTTTCTAAAGGAACTTTAAACCTCGTGCAAACACATTTAGTTTATTTACAGTTCCTTCACCTTTCAGAAATCTTTTTGTCTGTAAATTTTGTTTACCGTTATGTCCCTGCAAATATAAATAAACCGTTTTAAAAAGAGAATGAGTCAACCCCATTTTGGTTAAAATTTGGCATTTTGGCTTTTGCCGACTAAAGCAATTAAAATTAATTAAATTTAAAAAAATCGGTTGCATATGTCAATAGTATTAAGTCAACCATGATCAAGGTATTTTGATTATGTAGGGTGAGTCACAGTAGAGCTTAATGTTTGGGTTTTACGTAATGCGTAAGTTGAATCGGAAGTGGCACTTCATTTTTGGTGTTTCTTTTTATCTTTTTTCTCCTGAGAATGATTTGTCTTTTGTTCGAGGTTCAATTTGGGCTTTCATTGATGACTATATTTTGGGGTTTTGTAAGACTTATCCATTCACCGATGAGTTGTCATGCTTAAAGACATGGTTGTTTGGGAAGGCTTTTACTTCGAACCAACGATGAACATTGTTTTAAGAGCGAGTTGAAAATAAAATGAAAGTTATAGCGAAGGTTAATGTTTCAAAACATTTTTTTATTTCGAAAACAAGTTGTTCAATTTAGCATTGACTTTGAAAATTTTAAACGGGCTTACCTCTTTTATTTAATGTTTCAAACAACAGTTAGCTGCTATGAGGAGAGAAAACAAATAAACATTGACTATTTGCAGAGGTTTTTGTTTGGCTGCGAGCCACTTGAAAATTGCAAATTGTGAGCAAAATTTAAATGAGCGAGCGGCAGATGAAGCCTGTTGCGAAGAGAGGCCTGAAGACAAAAAACAGAATCTTCAAGAGGAGGCGTCTGAGCGAATCTTATTGGAAATGCCAAGCGGATGAGTGGACGATTTCGCCCATAATGAGATGATCCAGGTGAAAAGCTCAGCTCGAATGACATTTTGCGCTGTGAAAGCACCTTACAAAACCCTTTGAAGTGTTAAATGCCAAGAAAATCTCAAAACTTGACTCGCCTTGGCTAGCTAATTTAATTCATAATTTATAGAACAAGTTCCTTGGTTTTTGGGTGTGTTGATATATTTCGGCGAACGGGTTTTGTGATCCGCAAACAACGCAAATTGTTTCCAGCTCCGAAATGCTAAATAGCCAGATTGGCTGCAGCTCGTAAAAAGCAAAAGTGTTGCCAACAAAACCCGTTAGCAGCAGAAGCAGAAGAAAAGAAATGAAAAGCGAGAAGCTGGCAACGAAATAGAAAGAGATCCGTAACTTTCACATGCAGATATATGGTAAGAGAATTATACCGTTGCTTTCTGACGATCGTGTGACGGCGATGAAATGGCACAAAAGAAAAGTCCACAAGATCAGGCGATTGTCTCACCGATAGCGAGAGTGAGACAGTTGGCCAGGTGAATGTGGCTCTGTTTTCGCTGGCTATAAAAAGAATAGGAGACTCCGAACTGAGACACTTTTCACTGCACGAATTATGGCAACATTCCTTTCTTTCCAGCGGATTCGCCTGCGTGGCCCACTGATTTAAAAATTAAATTTCGTATTTGATTTCTTTTCATTAACTTTTTCTCTTTTGCTGGCCTGGTGCTCGTGTGTTGGTAATGTTGTTGCTGTTGCTACACTAAACTTTTGGCCCACACGCACACACACAATCACTTTTGGCCACTCACAGACACACGCATGCGCGCACGTACCGTTTTGTAAGACGTTTCTCTCTCTTTTTTGCTGCCGTCCGCGCAGCTCTTTTCGAGTTCGTTGTCTTCGCCAAACTGAATTGAAGTCTTTCGTTTTGCCCACTGGAAGTGCCTGATGCCGACGTCGCAGTCGCTGCTCTGCCCCTGGAAATACATTTTTATGAGAGCTTAAGCTTGTTATTTTGTTTTTACTTGGACCACTGCCTGTTTTTTTATTCGTTTTTGGAGTGGTGAGTGGTAACGGTTAACCAAGTTGGTAGTGGGTCCTGAAAATAATTGCGCATTTTGTAGTAAAAAAATGTTTATCCTTTCACGTTTGATATGGTGAAAATATGACAGGAAAGCGGTTCCTGTTTTAGAAATTGAAATCCTTTTACGGATTTTTTTTTTGCATTTAAAAACCGTTCACTTTATTCTTTAAGAAACCAGTAAATAAATACTGTTTACTGTTTTTTCTTAGATTATTCGCAACCTTTTCTATAGTTATCTTACTCCTTTCCACACTGCATGTGTGTTGGATTATAATTTGCATGCCTTTATTTCTTTTGTTTTTGCGACAACTTTGGTCGAGGTCGTCTGGTTTTTTTTCTTTTCTGCCGCTTTCTGTTGGCGTCTTTTATTAATGCTGCTCCAATATTCCGATCAAAGAGCGCGAGAGCTCAAGGAAAGAGAGAGCGTTGTGCAGCTGGAAGAATTTGACAATTACCTCAGTTGCAATTTACCGTTGTTGTTGCTTGGAAAGCCGAACTGAGGATGCGCAACATCGGGGTAAGACAAAACGGTTGAAACGGCCTCCATTTGTTATCTAGGACCTTCTGATTTCAGTTTTATGATAAGGAATTCAAAATAATATTACATAGACATAATTATAATTCTGTTCCTTTTATTTATTTTTTAAATTCATTTTTAATTTCAAATATATCGAAGTTTTCAGTTATCGACTGTTGGTAAGACCAGTGGAACCAGTTCAAAAATTAAATGCTCTGATCATAATGTATTATATATTGATTATTGACTTACAAATATTTTTACGAGTCGAGTCCCCCGATTTTTCGATGTATCTTTAGTTTTAAATTTTATATACCAAAACCTAAATGTATGTCTTTTTTTGGTTTTGGTACATATCAGTTTTTATTAGTGCCATTTGGATCGTAGTGTGTCGTTTTTTGGCGCTACACATGCGGTCACACTGGTCGAGTGTCGCACAAATAAAAGAAAAGAAGGCAGAAACAGCGAAAGCAACAATAATACAAATAAACAGCCGACTCGATAACTGAGCACAAAAATAAGGCGTACGTAATATAGACAGCAGGCAAACAAGGCGGCTGTGCGGGGCGGAGGTGAGTAGCCGATATTCCGAGATTCCCAGATTCCGAGACTCCGTCTTCCGGAACTGGTGTACGTACGTGACCCTGTAGACGAGTGCATATATTCATATACATATAAGCATATATATTGCCCTATAGATCCTTCTTACCGGAGCGGAGTGGAGTAGAGTGTGACAATGGGCGCCTGTGTGTGTCGCGTGAACACCGACAACGAGACGATGAGCGTTTCCTCGGCGAGCATCTCGCGTCCGGCCAGTGCAGGTGAGTGGCCTTTTATACTATAGATACCCGTCCACATACATATCTCACATATCACCCGTGCATCTCCCCTCGACAGGCATTGCCATGGGCGCTGCGCGCAAGAACCGACCCCTCTGCCACGAGACTATTCGGTGGCGGTCCGACGTTCCCCTCACCGAAGGCCAGCTCAGATCTAAGCGGGACGAGTTCTGGGACACGGCGCCGGCCTTCGACGGCCGGAAAGAGATCTGGGATGCCCTCCGGGCGGCCACCAACGCAGCCGAGGGTCTCGACTTCCAGATGGCGCAGGCCATCCTGGACGGAGCCAATGTCTCGGTCCCGAATGGGTGAGTATGCCACAACAATTTGGAGCTTAGGTCAAATCGGCCGAGGTTTGAATAAGTTGGTTTATCATTTTTGTAACGGTATATCAGTGAGGATATAATTTGAAGAACCGAACGCTTATTTCTTATCTGGGTTTTTTTTTCTTATATTTTAAATGCCTAAGGGATGAACATCTTGTAAAGCACTTGCTCGAGCCCAGGCCCGTGATGTAGCACATTTTAAGCACCGAAGCGGATTTCGGATAACAAACAAAATTCTTTATTTAGTGTTTACTCCTGATTCCAGTGACTGAGAAACTTAACAAATTGATGTTCATAATTTGTAATACAAATCCGGCAATGTCCCTAATGACACGACATGCTAATTGCCAACGACCAGAAAATCAATAATGTATATAGTGATTTCGTATGGCCATAACTCCATTAATGCATGACAGCGATTTGCTGGTGTCCTTTGCTGGAAAACACGGGGGTATTATAAATTTGTGATGAGCCCTGTCCGGAGAGTCCGAAACGGAACAGAAACAGCGCGGACGGTCAAATAGTTATGTCAAAGAGGTGTGCCCTACCCCACAACCAAAACGAAAGTCTATGCGATTAGTAAAATACCACTAAAATAGTTTTGTGAGTGATTATTAATAACCATTGCTTCTGTTATGAACAGAATCAAACGTTTGTAATTATATAGTTCAGGATTAGAGTATCTGGGCCGTCGACCAGAGAGCTCAAATTTTCGCGCTAACGTTTTTATTAGTCATCGATTTTTGACTGACACTCTGACGCTCACTCGCCTCGGACTGTAGTCCATATTTATTTAAATGCAGTGCTGACCTTTCCACCACTTTCGGCGTTGCATGCGCCAGTGTCCTTGATGAGCGCTCCCTACGTAATGCCGCAGTTATCTAGGCCCTTATCAGGCGTGGCCCACTTGGCATTGAATCATTAGCATTAGACTCAATGGGTGACAAACTTTTTTTGTTTTCGGCTGGATGGGATTTTCGATAAGATAGTGATATTGGATGGCTTGCCTGGTTACTGATCAACGTTTGTTTGCAGCTACCTCACAGAATGCTACGATGAACTGGGCACCCAGTACAAGGTGCCCATCTACTGTCTGTCATATCCCATTAATATCGTGAAGGAGGAGAACGGACGCGACTCGCCTGCCGAATACTCAGAGCCAGTGGATGGCGGCACCGAGATCTTTCTGAAGCTTCGCATATCATCTACCATGACTGATGTCAAGTTGCCGGTGTACTCCAAAGACACCGTGGGGCAGTGCAAGAAGAAGCTTCAGGTGAGTGCGACCACCGAGCAGCTTATCGGTTTTGATTGCTGTATATGTTCTTGTTGGGAGAAAGTGTTTATTGTAATTCTGAAAGAAAGTAAATCAATCAAAAGAATTTACAGAACTGTAGGCTCCCAAATCTGGTTCACAAATTTTATTGAGTAACTGGTTGCTTTTACATCTATAATAAAAAAAGGTCATTCTCGGGAACTTATCGCTCTGTTGATATTTTCAGGCTGCCGAGGCTGTCGACGCCTGCTGCCAGCGATGGTTCTACAGCGGTAAGCTGCTGGGCGACAAGGTGCCCATAGACGAGTGCAGCATACACCAGGGATACGTGGTGCAGGTGATCGTCAACACGGAGCACTACAACCACGACAACAGCACGAGTACGGCGCACGCCAGCTAGCGGCGCAGTCCGCTCCCACTAGTCAACAGCAATAGCAACAGCAAGGAGCCACGACAGCCGCCGCAGGATCAGCAGCAGCAGCAACAGCAACAACTTTTGGCCAAAGCGGGCAGCGGCATCCGGAGAAGGAGGAATGCCATATACTCAGTTCACAGCACAAGGAACCCTGAAGGGAGTGTACAGCAAACACCTGAGCACCAGCGAGTACAACAGCAACAGCATACTCATTGCATTTATCAAAATAAGCAACAATTGCAAATTGTTGCTCTGTCTGCCTTGTTGCTAATGCTGTTGTTGTGGCTGCTCGCCTTGTTATGCTTTGTTTAATATTTCTTTATATAAATGTGAAACAAAAGATCGAGAACAAATTGCTGAGAAAGGGAAATCGGAATGGGAAATGATAAGATACATAAATTATAAACATACATATATTTTTTTGATAATAATACTTGATAATAATGCAACTGATTTAGGCAGTCTGTAAAGCATATACCTTCAAGTGTATATGCAATCTGCTACATGGAGTTCAGTAACCCAGATCTTCCTGGGTGCTTCTCTATTGAAAAACTGAAAAAATGTACATTTTTATAAATACCAACATGAAGGGCCTCTATTAACTAATTGTAAGCAAGTGTTAGAGCATTTGCCTAATGTAAATGTAATGTAAAAATAAACAAGAACTGTAGTATTTGGCCGCAATAGAAAGCATGCAACAAACAATTTTTGATACTGTACAAATGCCAAGCACAACATGAAAATGAACATACTTGTGACAAAACCCAGAGAATACACAAATTGTTAATACTTGCTCAAATGTAGTTAACAAGCATAAGGGGAACACATCGCGGAAAGAGATATGAGTGGATGCGTGGTAGGCAGTTGAAGAGTTAACCCAAGTACCTTATAAATGTATATGATTTACTTTGCTTCTAAAATCGAACATGAAATCTGACAAATGGAAAAATCTATCTTTTAAGCACATGAATTAATTTCCTTTATTTTTCCGAGACTACAGTAAAGCATTTATACTGGTTGAGCGCTAATTATGAACCTTATTTAATTTGTCTGAAACTGAGAATAAAGTCAATCGAGCTCTGGAAAGGCACGATAGCAACGATATTCGGTTTTTCGTATTTTATGATTTGGCAGAACAAGACTATAAATTAACTTGACGGCTTGAAAAACAATAATACTTTAATGGATTGTTTGATATTTTTTACTACTTATAATAAAACCTTTATAAAATTTGAATAACTAATTAATCAATTGATAAGACATCCGATTTAAAAAAGTCACTTGCAGCATTAGTGACCATATATATTCCACTGTTGGCTTTTTTTATTACCAATTCTTAACATTGTGAACTCAAAATTTCGATTTCGTAACAAAAGTGTATTTGCCAAAGTTGAAACCAATAATGGATAGAAAGCAAATAAAGAACAATTAAATGCATAAGTATAAAAAGCACAAAAATTGTTTAGTTTTTGAAATGTTTGTCCTTTAATTCTTGTACAGATCAAATAAAACCTATTTTCTAGCCTCGTGAATCCATCTTTTGCAGTAAAGTCAGGAACGAAAAGGCAGTAGTAATAGTCTGGAAATAAAATTGAATTATAGAAGCAAAAGTCTAGTTATTTATTTTTCTACAAATATCTTTTGTTAAGCTTTGGTAGATTATAATTTAATTCACTGTTGCACTCAACTTACCCCCCTGAATCGTTCCACGTTTAGATGGGTTATCTTTCCGGCAGTGAGTTGGAACTGTCTACGGGAGTTCAGAATGAAAAAGAGGTAATCGCTGCGAACGTCTTTTAGGTGTCGCTGCCAAGGACTCCTCCACAAGGCCTCACCACACCGTTGACTATTCTGGAACACGATGTCTGCGAAGTAGCAGATGATGAAGAGCTCGTAGAGCACCAGGAGCAAGTACTGGCCCAGGGAGACCATCCGCATGAAGGAGTTGGCCGTGGTGCTCTTGGTCGAAACAAAAGCCACCAGGCACATGAGAAAGGTGACCTCGCCGATCTTCACAAACCATATGGGACTGTAGAAACGCTCCATTTTCTTCAGAGCCTCCACTATATAACGGTGGTGGCGAATGCACTGCTTGAAGGACTGCTTAAATGCACCGACAAAATCTCGATGTCTTTCTGCTGAGGGTTGAAGCAGTTCCTGCAGAGGAGTCTTCTCCTCCAGGGAGTAGGCGTATTGGCTAGGCTCGGCATCGGACACAGCCTGTTCAGCTTGCAATTGACTTGAAATGGACCACAGATAAATTAGGATACTCGTTGATACGTATTTTACACAACCGAATTTCCACCCAGAAAATAGTTTAAATAACTATTGGTTAAAAAAAGCTGCAACAATGAGTTCTTCAAACATAAGATTCTACTTGTTTAACACTTTGCCACTAAATAACTGAATACAAATATGTTTGTTACCCGTTTCTTACAAAGCTCACCTAAGTTCTGCCATATTGGCTCCCATCAGCACATAAGTGGTGGCCAACACGTTCTTGAGACTGCAGAAGAGCACATCATATTGGCCCGAGATAAGGACACAGAGCACCATATGCAGGCCACTCGAGGAGGCAAAGGAGGCCGCCACTTGGATCTGACCCATCGCCTGGAGGAAGAACACAACCTCATAGACAATTGGTTGCTAAAGAACGATAGAACTATAGTTGTATAGCCTTTAAGTAGTCTAGTTTCTACCGACCGTGTAGTCGAAGGGATACCAACAGGCTAGGGGCAGACTCTTGTCCCTGTAGGCTATGGGAAGGGCCAGCCAGAAAATGGTTCCAATGTAACAGCAGTACACATAGGTCTTGATCCACAACCTGGACATCCGATATGACTCTGCCATCGTAACGAAGTTAAATCCGACAGCCGAACGTGGCTCGTACTTGTCATTAATATCGCTCAAAATGGCATTTAGCAGTCCCGGCATGAAGCGCCGAAAGTAGAGCTTCATGGCGATGGTCCACAAATAAATGATGGTTTGTATCAAACAGTTGACGAAGAAGTCCAAGTCTCCTTGGCCGTAGTTTAAGTAGATGGTACAAATGAACAAACCAGCTATATGCACGGATACGAAATAGTTGAAGAGCTCGTAGATCAGATCCAGGCCTCGGACCAGATGAGCCAGGCATCCAGACCCCTGGACGTAATATCCAAAAGGATACATGGCCGCTATGCACATGGTTTGTCTCACAAAGACGAACAGATCGCGTCGCTTGCAGTCGTCCTTTGTATCTTTTTCCTTGGGTTTGCTTTCCATTGCGATCCAGAAAGTAATCCTGAGCCAAGCCCTTTGGAATTAGTCTTTTATAGGTTGAACTTTCCATGTCTCCATATCTACAACTTTTCAATTAGACAGTCGCACCTAAAAAACTTTAAATTACATGTTGCAACTTGGGTGGCAACCAACGCCAAGAATTTGATTTTCTATTATTATAAACTGAATAAATAATGAGCACTCGTTTAATATATATTATGACTTGAGAATTTTGTAAACTTAATGTCTTTTTATAAGTGTTTATAATAATAATGAAAAACTAATAAATATTTCAAATATACGAGTTTTATTTGAAAGTGTCACAACCTGAGGTAAACCCCTAACTTAAGCTAGGCACACTAACTGGGGAACCTTCTTTATAAAATATATTAAATATATTAATAAATTAAATATAAATTTCTGTCCCGTACCCTGCCCACGGCAAGATATCCCGCCCTTTGAATCGGTATCGTTTCAGTGGTTTAATTTCATAATACTTGTTGGGTTCTATTTTAATATTAATATTTAATATTTTAATATTTCATTTTGTACATATAGATTCAAAAAAATGTAAATTTTCATTTACTTGCAGGGCACTGATTTGTTTGTTTTAACTAATTGAAAATGGTAAGAGATGGACTCACCGATTTTGACTTTTACTTTGGGGTTGGCCAACAGTAATGTGCTGCTACCAATCATAACGCCACTTGGCCACCCGACCATTCAGACGAGTTCTTTACAATTCCTCTGCTGGCCGGGCCATCAATTCCAAATAAAGCCAGCCGTCGAGAGCGGAAAAGCGCTTTACATTGAAACCCAGTTGACCATGTCCAAGGAGTCGTGACTGCGATATGTTGGCAGCACTTTTGTTCGCCGAAATGCGCACACAACAATGGACGGGACCAATATGCTGGAGGAATAAGTCAGCCGGAGGACTCCGCCGGACTGTTACCATTCCGCCCACTGAAATGCGACAAGTTTCCCTTTCCGTGGATCGATGTGCATGTTGCACAAAGTGGCGACATGCGACGAGTGAAGTACTGGTATGGTATGTGGGTCTGCTGAATGCAGCGGGTGGCATTGCGGCAGATGCAATCAAACATGGGCCACTCACTGCCCCACTGCCCCACCGCCCACGCCCGCATCCTCGAAGCCATGGTCATTATTTTAATGGGGCGTTCGTGGGGAAATGTTTTCCTCCTTTGGCATCCGTCCTCAACATACTTTATTGCATGTTGGGCAGAGTGGGGACACTTTCTCTGATTAATTTATGCCCTAATTACACTCTCGCAGAGGGTATTATAATTTCAGCCAGAAGCAGTTAAGAAGAAACCCCAGATTCCATAAAGTACCTATGTATATTCCTAATTGGCATCATCATTTGAATCGAACTAGACACATACGTCTGTCTCAATAATTAATGTTCTACCAAAAGTTGTGTAGTTATTACACAGTATTTAATTCGGAACAGCACCTGTCGGACGTCTATATCGTATAGCTTCCTTCGGATAAATCAAAAAATATCATAAAACAACTGAGTTTTCCAGATGGTGTATATATAGCTGCCATAGGAAAACAAAAAAACTATCTACAATTCATGGAACAAAAAATTAACCGTAGTTGAGTTTTATTATACAAGCATGATTTTTGGAATAAAGTATAAAGTTATTTAGTTGAGCTATAAATAAATATAAATATATAATACATACATAATAATATAATATTATATAATATATAATATATATGTATATGCACTTAGTCGCTACGTGTAAAGATTAAATGTTGTTGTTTTTGTTTGATTTTAAAAATTTTTTCGTTAAAAGGACAAGTGAATAGGCAGACGCAGCTGCTTTTTTTTGTTACTGCGAAACATATAATATCTGTTTGTTTTTTCTGCTTAGTGGTACAGTATGTAATTTTTATCTTCAAAAGGGTTTTCGAGAGAAGAAGGATGTCAATATCGTAGTTGCTTAGGAATCACAGAAGTTCGCATTTGCGCTGGAAAACGCCTTTAGCGTTTAAAAGCATATCTTTGAAATATCAGTCGAATTTTGTTTAGTTAGAATTTCCATTGGAGTATTCTGTTTTCGCATTGAAGTGTGAATTCTGGCCCAAGCTAGGAGTAAAACACTGCCTTTGCGTCAGCGCTTTCCTGAGAGTGGAGCACCCGGTGGACTGACAGCCAAAAAATCTGACAACCTAACAAACCAAGGAAAAATAGAGAAATTTAATCTACATTTATTAAACCAATTTATTTTAAATTTGAAAAAGAATCAAGACTTTGTCTTTAAGTTCAGCATTTTAAAATCAATACGCATTATTCAATATATGACAACATGTCACGTTTAACAACTTAAATGGAATACTCAACAATCAACATGCAACATGAGACATTAAACATGTGACAGTCAACACACAGCATAAGGCATGCAAAATTGAGAATACGACGACAACTTGCAAAATGATATATGCAACTTGCAATATGCAACATGTGACAACACATCACATTCAGCCTGCAAAATAGAACTTGCAACATGCAACATGTTGTAAGCAACATGCAACACCCAATATACAACAATAAACAGGGTACAAAAGCAATGCTTTTTAATGTTAGTTCAAAGCCAAATGTTAGTTAACATCCATCCAAAGCAATGCTTTTTAATGTTACTTAAAAGCCAAATGTTGGTTAACATCCATGTAAATTAAATGTAAAATTAATGTAAAGGATAGCAGTTGATTTGGGTTAATTTTTCAGTCTTCCGGGATCCCCGGTAGTTTATCAAAGAAACTGTTTCCGGTTTTTTAGTGTCGGTGTACGTGTCATTGAAGTGTTTCCAAAAACTCCATGGTCGATGCCCTCTATTGGACTCCCATCAGGATGGGAACTAGAGAATCAAAATCGTTACCTGACTTACGAACTTTTGAAGTCAATATGTTTAAATAAATAAGTAAATTGATTTGTTTGTGTTATCTTTTTTTAATTATTAGCAGGTGATAGATAGTTATTAAAATCTATCTAAGTACATTTTTAGAAATAAATGAATTATTTTATAAAAGCCCACCTGAACTACGCATTTTGAAGGTTGAATTAAATCCTAGGGGCTTAAAGGTTGTTTTTATAAATTAAGAACGCTTTAATATTTCGACTAAAGAAATTCATCCAAACTCTCCCGACCTGCACTAAACTGAACAAAAGAACCTCAGTTATAAAAACCAGTGAAAGACGTTCTTTATCTAGTAATGTATCCCACAATCAGCGTTGCCAGTTTAGCTTGTTTTAAATGCTATTTTGATGTTATGTTATGTTAAATCTGCGGTTATACACTTTGAAACTGGAAAATTTTAGCTTATTCTAGCTTATTTTATTAAAAATCTAGCTTATAAACAAGCTAAACTGGCAACGCTGCCCACAATCCCACAGAAAAAGCGTTTTCTGAATTTATTTATTCATTCCTTAATATGCTGCTGGTTCTTTATTACTGTAATTACTGCAATGTACTGGTGATATTGAGATATTATAACAATGGGTTTTGGCGAGAGAATGAAGCAGTTAAGCAAGAGTCATGCACACGAGCTTGGACCAATCGCGATGAGCGGCTGAAGTAAACGGTTAGCAAGCTGGGACGAGGTGGCAGGATCCAGGATCCAGGATCCAGGATCTAGGATCCTCCTGATCCGCCTAGTCGATGTTCAGCTGGCGGAAGGTGCCCTCCATGCCGAAGAGGTCGTCGCTGGTCTTGGGGGCGCCGGGGCGCAGGGACTCGTTGGCCTTCTTGTCCTCCTGGTCCTTGAACCACTGGGTGTTGTCCACCAGCTTCTGCTTCCACCACTGGTTGAGCTCCACCACACCGCCGGCCTTGCCGCCGTACTCGTTGGGCAGGAGGTCGCGCGGCACCACCTTGTAGAGGCTCTCCACGTCGTTGTGGAAGGTGATGCGGCTGCGGATCTTCTCCTTCACGAACGGCTTCACGAAGTTGAAGATGGTGTCCACCAGCGGCGAGATGTTGATCACGTGCACCTCCTTCACCTTCACCGGATACGCCTCCTGCACGGCGATCAGGAACTTCTTCACCACCGTCGGCGAGAACTTGGCGAAGTGCGCCGCACTGGCCACCGACGCGTCCAGGATGAAGATGTCCCCGGCGATGCCGACGCTCTCCTCCGCCAGACGCACGTCCCCGATCATCAGGGCCACCTTCATGGCGTCCAGGATGTGGTGGGGCTGGAAGTCGCAGTCGATGCCCCGGATGAACGTGATGCGGCGTCCGTTGGGCGTGATTCCTGGCAGAGTGGGACAATGCCTGCGGGGGAGGCGAAAATGTGGGAGTGTCATTATCTTTAATTGTGAGGTATAGAATCATTACACTATTCTTCGCTTATTAACAATTTTTATAACTTTTTAATCTCTTTTTACTTACGAATCTTTAGTTCTTGATAGTTACAATTATAAATATTCATTACAGTCTAGGTAATTCGATTACAAGAAAGCATAAAAATGAACTGAATGAATTCTCTTTTAATGATGTGTCTTTTTGTTTTATGTTACTCACAAGAAAACTTTCAATATTTAACTCATTTATGTATCTATAAAGGCATCACCTCTTTTTCCCAATTCTATAAGAAGTATAGCCTTCAACTGGAGTACTCACACATAGTCCAGCACGATGTTGAGCTCCTCGCGGTTGATATCCCGGTTGGAGAAGAACTCCGGAACGGCGTTGCGCATGGTGTAGTACATGTCCAGCTTCTTCTTCACCTTCTCCAGGCTGAACTTGCAGCCGCGCAGGAAGGTGGTTAGGCGCATGTCGTCCATGTCCTTGGGCAGGTGCGGCTGCGTCTCCAGCCACTCGCGGATCAGTTTGATGTCCCGCTCAATGTCTGCTGGGTCCTCCGGCTCACGGAGCTCCTCGCGGATGCTCACGCGCTGGTCGGGTGTGGGGTGTAGCATCATCATCTGGGGGAGGAAGGAGGATGGGAACTAACTTTAGTTCACCTACTTTTAT